GCCAAAGACAAGAGCAAAATCTAATGAAGATAAAATATGCAGTAAGTTAAAGTTAACTCATAATAGATTATAGAAAAATTAGTAAAAGATTTTGCTACTTTTATATCAAGTACAAGCTACTTTTATAACATATCCTTTATAATTGTAACATTAGCTTGTGATAGTGGTTATTGGTCAAACAATGATGTGTATTAGTGAATTCGGTATGACATATTAGTGATTTTTGTTGTTTCTGGCTAACACCACTAGAATAATCTTTTTGAAACCTTAGCACAAATGTGAGTATATTCCTGACTCAATGAATCTTATATTTCTGTAACTGAGTAAGAACAATTTTTGTCAATAGGATTGTCATCCTCCCAGAATTTGGGTGGAAATTTTACTGCTCAAACTTATTTTTCAATCTTTTAATTGCAAGCTTAATTTATTTTTTTAAAAAAGATTTATTTAGGTATTTGAAAGAGTTTCAAAGAGAAAGGGAAACACATACACACACACACACACACACACACAGAGAGAAACCTTTTTCCACTGGTTCACTCCTCATATGACTCTGTTGGCCAAGGCTGGGCTAGGCTGATGGCCACAAGCCAGGAGATTTTCCAGGTCTCCCACATGGATAGCAGGTGCCCAAACATTGGGCCATCTTCTGCTGCTTTTCTCAGACCACTAGCAGGGAGCTGGATCAGAAGTGGAGCAGCTGGGACATGAACCAGCACACATACAGGTTGTTGGCATTGCAGATGGCAGCTTTATTCACTTTGCCACAATGCTGGACCTGCAAGCTTGATTTCTGTAAATTATATTTTATTTACATTTTATTTTTTAAATTAAAAACCTTCGGCCTGCGCCGCGGCTCATTAGGCTAATCCTCCGCCTTGTGGCGCTGGCACACAAGGTTCTAGTTCCGGTCGGGGCACCAGATTCTGTCCTGGTTGCCCCTCTTCCAGGCCAGCTCTCTGCTGTGGCCAGGGAGTGCAGTGGAGGATGGCCCAAGTGCTTGGGCCCTGCACCCCATGGGAGACCAGGAGAAGTACCTGGCTCCTGCCATTGGATCAGCGCGATGCGCCGGCCGCAGCACACCAGCCACAGCGGCCATTGGAGGCATTGGAGGGTGAACCAACGGCAAAGGAAGACCTTTTTTTTTTTTTTTTTTTTTTTTTTTTTCAGGCAGAGTGGACAGTGATAGAGAGACAGAGAGAGAAAGGTCTTCCTTTTGCCGTTGGTTCACCCTCCAATGGCCGCCTTGGCCGGCGCGCTGTGGCCGGCGCATCGCGCTGATCCGATGGCAGGAGCCAGGATCCAGGTGCTTTTTCCTGGTCTCCCATGGGGTGCAGGGCCCAAGCACCTGGGCCATCCTCCACTGCACTCCCTGGCCATAGCAGAGAGCTGGCCTGGAAGAGGGGCAACCGGGACAGAATCCGGCGCCCCAACCGGGACTAGAACCCGGTGTGCCGGCGCCGCAAGGTGGAGGATTAGCCTATTGAGCCACGGCGCCGGCCCAGGAAGACCTTTCTCTCTGTCTCTCTCTCTCACTGTCCACTCTGCCTGTCAAAAAAAAAAAAAAAAATTTAATGGATCAGGTAAAACTGATTACTTGAGCAAATAGCCTTTTTCCAAGATATAACAATGATATAACAATGATTTGTGGGTATAAATGAAATATAAAGAATTACTGGTGGCACTGTAGGTTAATCCTCTGCCTACAGTGCTGACATTCCATATGAGTGCCAGTTCTAGTCCTGGTTGCTCCTCTTCCAGTCCAGCTCTCTGCTGTGGCCTGGGAAAGCAGTGAAAAATGGCCCAGGTCCTTGGGTCCTGCACCTGCATAGGAGACCGGGAGGAAGCACCTGGCTCCTGGCTTTGGATCGACGTAGCTCCGGCTGTTGGGGCCATCTGGCAAGTGAGCCAGCGGAAGGAAGACCTTCCTCTCTGTCTCTCCCTCTCACTGTCTGTAACTCTACCTCTCAAATAAATTTAAAAAATCTTTTTTTAAAAAAAGGAATTATTGGCATGTTCTGGAAATATCTTTGGTATATTCTCTTAATGTAAAATTTAAGGTAGTTAATAAGGTAGTTAATAATATTCAAAAATATTCCATTTGAGATTCATGGTGGGTAGCATGAACTATGGAAGCATGAGAGCTAGGAATACCTTGGGCCAAATTTCAGTCCCGATTCTTGGGGTGACATATTTAATTTCTTTGATTCTCGAAAGTATCCCATACTTAAAAAGAAAATGATAATCTCTCCCTTGTAGGACTATCAGAAAGAACAAACTGGCCTATTTAAAACTCAGCACAATGTCTAGCACAAAAGTTTTAGCATATATTAGTTCCTTTGCCATGTAATGGAGAATTTAAATGTATTTGTATTTGTGGGTGAATGTATAATAAATACTCTTCGTAAGAATGTACAGACTCAAATATCTGAAAAAAGTGCATTTTAGTTCAGATCTCCATATCAACTCATTTTAAAATAAATAAGGGCATGACAGGATAGAAAGTTTTTATTTTCATATATGATGCAAAATTTAAAATAAACAACTTAGAGATAATATCCAAGTGCAAATATAGCAATTTCTTTATTGTTCCAAAACTTCAAATATTTCATTAAAAGACATTTGGAAATTGCGTACAAGTGCTCATATTGTACTTGTACTTTTCATATTTTAAATCAGAATTTTCAAAACAGTTTTTGCACAAATAGCTCAGTTACACCCACAAATCACTGAATCTATTTAGCATCTTTGAAGAGGTGTAATTTTTTGAAAAATGTGACATTTGTTTTTGTGCCAGTGCATTTGTCAACATTAGTGTAATTAGCTCAAGTTTCATCAACTAGCTGGTGCAATCTGTTCAGAAAGCAACTTTGAATTTTGAATAGTCTTAGGGACTCCTGTTAGAGTTATGTCCATGGGATATGACTTAAGTTCTTCTATGTGAAAAAAGAAAAAATAGTCAATGGGATTTTTAAAAATTTGTTTACATAGTATAGAAATGAATGTCAGGAAACTTGTAGTGTCAATAGAAATTTGAGGAAAGTAATGAAAAGCAGTTTCCTTAAAATTCCATTTACCCAGAAAAAAATGTTTATTTTCTTTCCTAGGAAACCTACACAAAGGATGCTATGAATATTTTCTTTATAACATAAGAATATGCACAGAAAAAAACAAACCAGACCAGGAAAGACAAATAGTGTATGTTCCCACTCAAAAATAGAAGCTAAAAAGTTGGTTTCATAGAAACTGAGAGTAAACTGTGGTCAGAAGAGGCTAGGAAGGGTAGGGTGAGCAGGGAGAGGGAGGTCAGGTAACAGGACCTAACACATGTAGAGATGAATGAATTCTAGTGTTCTACAGCACAGCAGGTTGACTATAATCTATAATCATTTGTTGTATATTATATAAAGAACTAGCAGAGAGAAGCTTCCCAACTAATAGTACTAAATGAGTAATGCAATATAAATCTGAATTACTCTGATGTGAGCATTACATATTAAGTACACTTATTGTTTTTTAATAAATATTTTTAAAGGTTTTATTTATTTATTTGAAAGGTGGAGTTACAGAGAGGCAGAGGCAGAGAGAGAGAGAGGTCTTCCATCTGCTGTTTCACTCCCCAGATGCCTGAAATGGCTGGAGCTGCATCAATCCAAAACCAGGAGGCAGGAGCCAGGAGCTTCTTCTGGGTCTCCCACGTGGGTACAGGGGCCCAGGACATGGGCCATCTTCTACTGCTTTCCCAGGCCACAGCACAGAGCTATTGCCCATATGGGATGCTGGCACTGCAGGTGGCGGGTTTACCAGCTATGCTACAGCATTGCCCCCTACACATATTGAATTATCACACTACATTCCATAGAAATGTATAATTATTATTTATCAAGTTAAAATTAAAAAGACTTGGCAGAAGTCAGAACAAGAAAGCAAATACACTAAAAATTATATTCTTTTTTGACAGGAATTGGTCTCCAGCACAAGATCACAGAAGAAAAAGCTTAGGAAAACTCAATAATTGTTTTATCAAGTTGCATTATTTAAGATGGATTAAAATAGGATTTTGCATATTCATGTTTTTTAAAACAGATAGTCTTATATTTGGAAGATGAATTTTAGAAATCTTAACAGAAAAAAAGCTTATTTTGCCTTTTCTGTGAAAGAATTAAATATGCTTTGAGCAAAAATCATGTTTGAAAAACAGAGTAGAGGGAATTATATAGGGGTGGATATTTAGCCAAGATACTGAGACACAGGGAAAATGACCCACATCTCATATTAGAGTCACTGGATTTGATTTTGGCCTGATTCCAGCTCCTGCTAATGCAGATACTGGCCTAGAGCAGTGATGGCTCAAGTAATTGGGTTCTAGCACCCACATGGGAGAGCTGGATTGAGTTCCTGGTTCCTGGACGGTGGCACTGCATGCATTTGAGGGGGTCAATCAGTGGATGAGAGCTCTCCATCCCAGTCTCTGCCTCTGTTTCTCTCTCTCCCTGAGCCTCTCTCTGTGTATGCTTCTTCAATCAAAAAGCAAATATAAAAGGTCATACCTCTGAAAATGGAAAACTTAACGATACGACAATATTCAATCAAATAGGTGGTGTCTTCGTTTCAATAGGTAAATATAAATGGAACAAGAAATAAAACATTGAAACTTTTATTTTTATACTGAAAGCCAAAAGTAAGAATTACAATGAAAGAAAATTCTGATAGCCAGCACATGTTTGCTGCCAACTGCCCTGCAAAGATACACACATACGTATACTCCATGGCCCCACTTTTCCAGGAGCACCTGCTGAAGCAGTAGAGAAGGGAAGATATATGTCATAAAAATGTATTTTATTGAAAAGTACAATCTGAATTATATAATACAAAATCGCAGCAAGAGCTTAGAAGAGATGGTTCATTTCAATCATCTACCTTAATTGGTTGAAGTACATCTTGGGATGGGAATTACAGATGAAAGGCATGATGGAATGTATCAAGATTTGTAAATATGGAGTGCGTCGGCTATGGCCTCTTAACTTTAAGAAGGGAAACATAGCATCTAGTGCCCAGCGGAAAAGGATGAGTCCTAAGCCTGAGCTTACTGAAGAGCAGAAACAAGAAATCAGGGACGCTTTTGATCTCTTTGATGCTGATGGAACTGGGACCATAGAAGTTAAAGAATGTAAGGTGGCAATGAGTGCCCTGGGGTTTGAACCCAAGGAAGAAGAAATCAAGAAAATGATAAGTGAAATTGATAAGGAAGGCACTGGAAAAATGAACTTTAGTGACTTTTTGACTGTGATGATTTAGAAAATGTCTGAGAAAGATACCAAAGAAGAAATTCTGAAAGCTGTCAAGCTCTTCGATGATGATGAAATTGGGAAGATATCGTTCAAAAATCTGAAACGCGTGGCCAAGGAGTTGGGCGAGAACCAGACAGATGAGGAGCTACAGGAAATGACTGATGAAGGTGATCGAGATGGAGATGGAGAAGTCAATGAGAAAGAATTCCTGCGCATCATGAAAAAGACCAGCCTTTACTAAGATCCATGTCGTCTTTTCTACTGCAGGCACACCTAACTAGATTTAGTGCCTGCCATCGTGTAAAATCTGGCTTTTGAGAACACAAACTATCCCCCCCGCAACTGACCTCCCTACGTAATTTTAGTTATAGCCTCCGCTCTATATCAGACTTTTAAAGTGCTCTTTGAAACTCAAACTCTTTATAAATGACCTACTGATTACTTGAGTCCTCCAAAGCAGAATAAGAGCACATTGGAGCGGAGAAAAGGGTCTTAAAGCATTGCCCAGCTGCCATTTTGCCTTGCCTTGCTTCGCTCTTGTCATATATTTCACAGAGATGCACACTGAACGACTTCTTAGACAAGCACATGTTGTTCCCATGTCACCAGAAGTACTGGTTGTTTTTCAGTGGTTCTAGCTTCTAGTTGATACTAGAGTGTAGTCTTCGCTTTTTTTTTTCCTAGGGGCAGAGTGGACAGTGAGAGAGAGAGTGAGACAGAGAGAAAGGTCTTCCTTTGTCGTTGGTTCACCCTCCAATGGCCTCTGCGGCTGGCGCACCGCACTGATCCAAAGCCAGGAGCCAGGTGCTCCTCCTGGTCTCCCATGCGGGTGCAGGGCCCAAGCACTTGGGCCATCCTCCACTGCACTCACGGGTCACAGCAGAGAGCTGGCCTAGAAGAGGAGCAATGGGGGACAGAATCTGGGGTGCCGGCGCCGCAGGCGGAGGATTAGCCTAGTGAGCAGCCGCACTGGCCAGTCTTTGCTTTTATAAAACCCAGTGAACTCTTGCATTGGCATTTGGATGTATGTTAATGCTATTTGTTTTGTCTTAAAAATAAAACCTGTCCTTAGTGTGTTGTCCAATGTGAAGTAATGCTATAACTAGTACTGAAACAGTATTTTACACTTTGTGTTTCTGTGTGGGTGCAAACTGATGAAATCTTTACTTAATATATACTGAATTGATCTTCTGTATATAAAGATAATTGAAAATGAATCTTGATGTGAATGGAATGGGAGAGGGAGCGGGAGCTGGGAGGGGTGTGAGTGGGAGGGAAATTATGGGGGGGGGAAGCCATTGTAATCCATTAACTGTACTTTGAAAATTTATATTTACTAAATAAAAAATAAATAAAAAGAAAAAAAAAACCTTTCTTAATCTGAAAAAACAAAAGATTGGTAAATACAAAAGATCAAATCATGTAAGTGGAGTTAGAGAACAGCCTTAAATCCGTTCAATTAATCATTCTTTTAAGCCCTCAAAAGTTGCTCACTTAAGGAATGCTTATTTATTTGAAAAGCAGAGAGCTGTTTGTAGTAGTCTCCTTAGTATCTTTTCAACAGTGTTACTCTGCACTCTGCAGTAACATTCTCACTCTCTTTTTAATAACAATCATATCGGGGTATGAAGAGACAGCTTTTCTCTCATTCTTAAATGAATAATTTTTTTATGTTTTTAATCAATATTTATAAAGGACCAAGTAGTGTAAGCATTCAATTCTACAAATTTTCTCTAAGTACAAGTATAGCTGTATCATGCAAATTTTGATATGCAGCATTTTAACTTTTCTTAAATGTATGTATTTTCCAATTTCTTGTGAGGTTTCTTCTTTTACCCGTGGATGTTATTAAGATTATGTTGGTGAATCCAAAATTAACGGGAATATTCTTGTTTTTCCATAATTTGTTTGTAATTTAATTCCAATATTCTCAAAGGGCATATTTTGTATGATTTCAAAAATTTTAAATTGTGTTAAGGTTTATCTTATGACTAAGGATGTTATCAAGCAGGTACAATTTTTCATGTTCATTCAAAAAAGATTTTAAATATAGTGTGTCACATGTTCTATAAATGTTATATACAGTTAGGTACTAATGTTTCTTAGTTCTTCTCTGAACTTGATTTTGCTTTCTACTTGCCCTAACACCGAAAGAACAGTTTTGAGGTATCCAACTATAATTGTGGATGTGTTTATTTCTCCTTTTGGTTCTGTCAGATCTTGATTCACATATATTTTTAAACTTTATTGTTAAATGAATACATATTTCATATTGTCATGTTTTTATTGTGAATTAACACTATTTAAAATGTTATATTACTATGTCTGTATCCCTGATCAATGTCTTCATTCTGAAATATACTTTGATAATGATATAGCTATTCTAGCTTTCCTTTGGTTAGTATTTGCATGGTCTATCCTTTTGTAACATTTCAAAGAAAAAATTGATTTTCAAGACAACCTCAATATGAGATTTACTCTGTGAATAAATTTTTAAGTAGATAATACATTAATGTTTATCATAGTTTCAATGTAGAATAAGAGCTCTACATTTGACTCATTCAGTTTAACTGAAACATTATATTCTTCGATTAGTATCCCATTTCTCCTTTTCCTAATGCCCTGGAAGCTGCTATCCCACTCTTTAATCCTATGAGTTTGGCCAATTCATATATCTCATGTAAGTGGAATCATAATGATATTTCTTTTTCTGTTACAGGCTTATTTCTTGCATATTTTCTTCAAGCTTCATCTATATTGTTATATATTGCAGAATTTTCTTCTTCTTTAAGGTTTAATAGTATTTTTGTATAAATATATGCACCATATTTCCTTTACCCAACTCATCTATCAGGAGCATTGAGATTGTTTCCACATTACAGCTTTTGTAAACAATTCTTTAATGAAAATAGGAGTTCTAACGTTCCTTTTATATTCTAATTATTTGAATACTCAAAAGTGGGATTCCTAGTTGATATAACAGCTTATTTTTAAAAATATTTACTTTCTTATTCATTTGAGAAGCAGAATTAAAGAGAGAGAGAGAGAGAGAGAGAGAGGGAAAGAGAGAAAGAGAGAATCTTTCATCCATTGGTTCACTCCTCAAATGGCCACGACAGCCAGGCCAGGAGCAAGGAACTTCATAGGAGTTTCCCAAATGGGTGGCAGGGGACAAACCATTTGGTTCATTTTTTTACTGCTTTCTTAAACCATTAGCAAGGAGCTAGATCTGAATTGGATCAACGGGGACACGCACTTGTGTCCATACCAGATGCTGGTGGAGCACATGCTGGCTTAACCAGCTGTGCCATAACACCAGCCCCAATCACCCTACTTCTCGTTTTGCCTGCATACTGTTTCCCATAGTGGCTGCACAATTTTGCATTTGCACTCACTATTTGCAAAGATTCTTATTCCTACACATCTTTGCTAACACTTATTGCCTTTTCATAATAGGCATCTTGACAGGTGTGAGGTGATACCTCATGGTTTTGATTTGCACTTTCCTGATAATTTGTGTTTTTTAGCACCTTTTTGTATACTTGGCTATTTGTGTCTATTCAGATAAATGGCTCTTCAAATCTTTAGTCCATTTTAAAATCAGGTTATTAGTTTTTGTTTTTTACCACTGAAGATTTGTAAGATTTTCTTACTTATTTGCAGATGAATCTCTTAAAATATATATATGTATATATATATGTATATATATATATGGTTTTCAGATATTTTCTCCCACCCTGTAGTTTGTCTATTAAGTCTGTTTATTATCACTGTTGCTGTGCAAAATCTTTGTAATTTGATATAATTCCATATGTTAGTTTTTGCTTTGTTGCCTGAGTTTGATGTGATAATCAAAAAAATTACTGCCTTTTCCAGTAGCAAGATGCTCCCCTATGTAGTCTTCTTGAAATTTTATATTTATATTTTATATTTATATTTAAGTCAGTGACTTTGAATAAAGCAGGTTTTTATCCATAATGAGCTTGGACCTCATCAAATAAACTGAAGTCCTGAAAAGAAAAAAACTCACATCCCCAAGGTAGAAGGAATTATGCTTCAGAATACTTTCAAACTTGAGACATCAATGTTAACTCTTTCCTAAGTTGCCTTCCTGCTGGGCTCCCCAAATTTTGGACTTGCTAATCTTTATAATCATGAGAACCAATAACTGAATCAATCCCTCCCTTCCCCCCTCTCTCTCTCACTCCCTTCTTTCCTCCCGCCCTCCTTTACATGTCTTCCTGATTCGGTTGCTCTGGAGAATTCTGAATAATTAAGGCTTTGGATTCCAGATAGATTTAGATTATTAAATTCTTGAACCAGAGAAGAAAGGGAAAGATTTATTCTATCTCTATATTTGATTATCTTCTCTCACTCTCTCTTTTGTTGACTGACATTCAGGCACAACCATTGCCCTGTGATTTAGGAACAGGCACTTTGCAAGTATTCTTTACTTACTTGCTCATTTATATTGATGGGACCTAGAATATAGCCTGACCCATAGGTTAAAAATAGGTATTGATTACACTTATGAAGATCATTTTGTTTTACATCACAATTTCTAATCTTCACGGTTCATTTTTTATTGAAAGCTATTGAAAATGTGATCTCTTATTTATTATGTGCATTTCCCTAAAATAATTAATAATATTCATAGACTTTTTTGTACTTACTGTTGTAGTTTTGAAAATAGCTTTATGTAATTAGACAAAGGTATACTTTGTTTTGATTTATCAACTTTACTTTCTTCTCAAATTTGGAAATAAAATAAAATATTCTTATTTTCATAGTCTCTCTCCTGTCCTTTTTGACATTGGCTGTTTATAATATTTTCATTAGTTCTTTAGTAGTAGATTTTTAAAAATCACTCTTAAAAATGTTAAGAACAGTTCTAAATTCCATGGATAAGTAAACTGTTAACATTCATATAATGGGATATACTTCATCAATAAAAGGAATGAATTATTGATAAAAATGTAAATAAATATAAATCATTATGTTGATTAAAGAATCCAGTCTTAAAAGATTGCATTCTATGTAATTCCATCAATATGCCAATCTGTAAAAGGCAAAACTGTAGACATAGATAATGGATAAGATCTCTGTTTTAATCATGGTGTAATTAGAAGAATTCATACATCTTAAAATCCATAGAACTACACCTTACAAAAACATCAGGAATTGTATACACATTTAGTATACCACAGGAGAAATGTTAAAGGAATTCTTTGAGGGCTCTGTCAGAGCGAGGGTTGTAACTCATCGGGAAACTGAATCCTCCAGACAGTTTCCTTTTGTATATTTCAACAGTGA